TCAGCTCTTCAGCTCAAGGCTAGCGCTCTACCACTTGAGCCACAGCGCCACTTCTGGCTTTTTTCTTTTTGCTTATGTGGTGCTGAGGAATCTAACCCAGGGCCTCTGGCATGCAACGCAAGCGCTCTACCACTGAGCCACCTTCCCAGCCCCCAGGCTGCTTTCTATACTTTATCTGCCAAGCACTAACGAAGATGTAAGCATGCAGTTTGATTTTCACTGGAAGGCTCACTCACCTTTTCCAGCTCCTCCATGTTACAGATCATATGGGCACAAGTGGTAAAAATCTCCACAGCTCGAGAACGAGTTCGAATACCATACACCTGGTAAAAAGGTTACGGCACAGTCATGAGATTGGAGCATGTACATACGTGTGTATCTGTGATTAGAAGTAAACTACACCTAATCAATCCTTACATGGCAGTATTTCCCTGAGAACACAAGACAACAGAACCATGTGAGAACCTACTGGATTTAGCTTTATATATAGGCCTTGTGTTGATCTTAATGCTTGAGGCAAGCCTAACATGGCTAATTTATTTCTTTTTCTTTTTTCCTTTCCTTTTTGTCTTTTATCCTCCTCCTGTCTTCCCCCTTTTCATCTTTCTAAAGTAAGGTCTCACTGTGTTCTCTGGACTGGTCTCCAATTCTTGGACTGAAGTGACCCTGCAACCTCAGCCTCCTGGGTACTGGGATTATTGTTATGTACTGGTACACCTCCTCTTCTATTTTTTTTTTTCTTGGTGGTGCTGGGAAACAAAACCAGGGCTTTGAACTGATTAAGTATCTTACACCCCCATTCTCAGTAAGTTTTTTTTTTTACAGTGGCTGGGGGTATATGCTAGATACTGGTGACTAGCTTTCTTCCTAGCTACTCAAGAGGCTAAGACGTGAAGATCATAGTTCATAGCCAGTCTGGGAAGAAAAATCCACAAGACTACATCACTAGTAGGCAAAAGAAAAAAAAATGTTAGAAGCAGGGAAATACATAAACATTACCTATCAGGAATTCTTATCTTACTCTGGATGATTTTATTATTCACATGCACATTAATTATATATACAATATACTGAAGATCTAGTCGTGCAGTGAGGTGAGGTAGCTGAAGCAGGCAAGACTAGACAGAATACCTCAGTGGAGGCTAGAAGTAGCCATGGAGGCACTAGGTATTTAGGGTTTATAGGAGGTATGAGGTATGAAGACACTCTTCATCTATTTTACTCTTTTATCACAGGCTTGTCCCTATAGTCAAGAGTGAACTCTATGGTTAATCCCAAATCTGATCCAGATCTTTGTCAGTTCCAATCCTCAAATATGGGGCACAGTGGGGAACACCATCATCTTCCTTCCACCTTAGAGGTAGAGGCAGACTAGAGGTTGAACAGTTCTTTTGGTTGAAATCACAGGGCTGAGATTTCATACCTCAGCCATAGTGAAGATCTTATACATCTCTGGAAGAATGACAGGAGCAACAAGTGGCATCTGTGTGTCTGTTACTTCTCGGGTGAACTCTATAAAGACAAAAGCATAAAAACTACTGTTTCGTAAAGACATTAAGTATGAAATCTCTCAAACTATTTCTCAGTGGTAATTTCCAGTCAGCATAAAGTACATGGGTTTAAGCAAACTAGAGCTGTTCAGCCTCCTGAATAGCCAGCAGCTCCCCAGGCATGAGCCAGCAGCTCCCAGTTAACTGGGACATTTTTCAGAAGCATAATAGCTAAAAGTGCAATTGGTTTTCTCAAGGTTAATATACCCTACAATTTTGGGCACTATTAATCCCTACATATCAAATGAAGATCAAATACTCAAGGCTGAGTTTTATTTACAAGCTGTGATTTCTTCTTAAAGAATAAATTTTGATTTGAAATATTTGGATATCTAAGGGGATCAAGTATGTAAGCTAGCATAACCAGGGTAACAAGTTTAATGAAGAATATACTATAGGACTGGAATATAGTTCAGTTGCAGAAAGCTTGCTTAACGTGTACAAGTGCAGGACAATTATTAACTTAGAAGTCTGGGGCCTCTGCTCACTGGAAAAGAAAGGGAATCCCACATGAAAGTAGAATACAGTAACCCATGTGTAGTGATACTTGAAGGTGAGGGAAATATGCATCACCTTTCCCTATGCTTAGAAAAAGAACTATTACTAATAAAAGAGTAATAATTCACTTTTACTAAGTAAAGTGACTAACCATTCCCAGTTGTATCAATTTATTCATACTTTACAGGTTTATGCTCAAAATAAGGTTTTCTGAAGTCATTCGGAAAGCCAGAAAAAGTTTGAGACACCAATAACACCTCAAATCTCCAAAGTTTTTTTGAGATTAAAGAACAAGCTTAGCTGGGTGCTGGTGGTTCACGCCTGCAATCCTAGCTACTTAGGAGGTTGAGATCTGAGGATCATGGTTCAAAGCCAGCCTGAGCACGAAAATGTGTGAGACTCTTTAGCTCCAATAAACTACTCAGAAAAAGCCAGAAGTGGGGCTGTGATTCAAGTGGTAGAGTGCTAGCCTTGAGCAAAGGAAGTTCAGGGACAGCGCCCAAGCCCAGAGTTCAAGCCCCAAGACCAGCAAAACCAAACAAAAATTTGATCTTGTGGATCAAATATTTCTATTCTTAGCTGCTATGTCTGAATTTTCTTCATACCATAAGACTAAGTTAATTCACTTTTATAAGTAGACAAATAATTGGGAAGCTTCATTAGGGGGAGTCACTCTAAAGATACTGGCATGTTTCTGTAGCCCCAGCTACTTGAGAAGCTGAGGTGGAAGGATCACTTGAGCCAGGAGTTAAGCGGCCAGCTAAGTAAAATATCTCAAAAAAACAGAACAAACCAAGAGAGCCCTGAGGAGAACGAGTCCTATCCTCTTCAGGGGCTCATGACCACACACTGGTGTTCTGGTATCTTCCTTCATGCTGCCTTTGCTTCTGTGGTTGTGGGTGGGTAGTCTGCCTCCTTGGAAAATATTTGGGATGAAGGTTGGTGACTTTCCACATTGTTTCTGATGACTCAATTGCAAAACGATAATTCCCTACCAGTTCCTTCCCTTGGCTGACAGCAAAGTGCTCTCACTGAACAGTAATTTCCTTAGTCAAGCACAATGAGGGCTCTGTCCTTATCAGGACAAATGTAGATTTTTCTTCTCCAGGTCTGTCAAAATGAAGCTGAACTTTGTGGAAGATCATGAACTAGCTTCCTTTTGTTGGGTAGAAAATATATCTTTTAATAGATACTCTGGCACCAGGAGGTAAATAATCATAAAAGTCCAACACTATAGTGAAGACTTTGTCAAGTTTTTTTTTGTTTTGTCAGTTATGGGGCTTGAACTCTGGACCTGGGCCCTGTCCCTCAGCTCTTCAGCTCAAGGCAAGCACTTTACCATTTGAGCCACAGTGCTACTTCTGGCCTTCTCTGCTTATGAGGTACTGAGGTTTTGAACCCAGGGCCTCATGCATGCAAGGCAAGCACTCTATCACTAAGCTACATTCCCAGCTCCTAGACAAGTGTTTAATTTAAATTTTATTGTCAAGGTGATGTACCTGGGGGTTATAGTTAATATAAGTAAGGTACTGAGTATATTTCCTGTAGAACTTGTTACCCCCTCCCTCATTTTTTTCCATTTCCCCTTCCTCCACTCTCCCCCAAGTTGTACAGATAATATCCAACATATTGTCTTGTGAGGGACAAGTGTTTTACTCGAAGTATCCCTCAGTCCTATATGCTGTGATCCCCTTACTTCTTCCACCTGTGTGGCTGGTTTATTATTTGACTGTTCTTAATTTTACCTTGGCTTATTAGAAATAATGTCATTTTAAAATTTAAATTACCAAAACAATCTTTTGAAGTAGACAATTTTAGCATCTTAGAAAGCAGAGTAGATGAAGGTCAGAGTAAAGCCAGAATATGAACCTGAACTAAATAACTATGCTTTTCTTGTATTTTTTTCTTTTTGTCAGTTATGGGGGCTGAACTCTGGGTCTGTCCCTCAGCTCTTCAGCTCAAGGCTAGCACCCTACCAACTTGAGCCACAGTGCCACTTCCGTTTTTTTTCTGCTTATGTGGTATTGAGGAATCAAACCTAGTGCCTCATGAATGTGAGGCAAGCCTTCTACCACTGAGCCAACTTCTCAGCCCCTGCATTTTTCTTTTGGTGCTGGGCCTTATACTCAGCACCTTTGTGCCTGCTAGGTAAACATTCTACCACTGGACTATGCTCCTGGTCTGGTATCTGCAAGTGTGAGGTTTGAATGTAGAAGGAGTACTGTGAGACAGTTCCCAGACAAGGGAGCTGGAGGATAGAGATGGAGTCAGACTTTCAGAAAACCAAGGAAAGAACAGCCTCCATAATTAATCTTGCTGATCTGGGCCACACTGTCCTAGTCTATTAGTGTCCTTGCCACTAGGACCCAAGTACCAACACCAGGGAAGAGGCTTCTGGTACCTGTCAGCACTCGCATGGCTCCATGGACAGCATTTAAGTCTCCGCTCACCAACATCTCCATGAGCAGGTTGAAGAGCTGGGGCCAGGCTTCAGGCCAGTCCCAGTGGGCAATGGCTGACACTGCATAGGCCACACTGGAGCGCACTTTGCTTATTGATTCTCTCAACCCATTGGGCAAGAGCTCCCGGATAACAATTTTTGCCTGTAGAGAAGGAAAGTCACTGACCATTAGATCACATTTTAAGTAATGGGCAGAGCCCAGTCCAGTTTGGAACTATATTAGAGAAACTATGCACAAGAAACAGAACACCAATAGGAAAGCCACATACAAATAATCCATTCAGGGTTCATCTGTAACCTCTGAACATGCTGTTTATTAAAGCATCTGTGGCGACAGGTGGCCATCTCAATTAAAAAAGAAAATTCAGTTCCTTAGCTGCAGTGGCCACATTGTAAGTACTCAAGAGCTGTAGTAGCTCTCATACTGGACATCACAGATGCAAAGATTCCAATTCCAAAGTCTTGTTCTAATCTTGTATCTCCATATTTCTTGGGGAACCAAGACAGTTGTATAGTACAGCAGTAAATAAAAACACTGTTTCACTTAATTCTCAAAAGACTCTAGTAAAGTTGATATTTTAATTCTAACTTTAGAAATTTAGAGGCTCGGAAGCTAAATATGTTCCCAAATACTTCACAGCCTGTAAAGGGCAGAAATGGAATACAGGTTGATACTCAAACTCTCTTACCTACAGCATAGAACCCATAATGCCAGCCATCAATCTCCTTTTCTGCCTTGTCCTTTTTGCTCCATGTGATCAAAGAAATTTGATAGCTTAATCTATGTCAGTCCTCATGTAGATAGACTAATAAAGAAACTGTCTTTACCCTTTCTGTAGTTTCAGGAGGCCTAAATTTCTCTGATTGGGCACACCAGTGAGTCTCCACATACTGCTTCAAGATGACTGATGCCAGCTGTGAAGAGAATAAGCCAAGAAGTGCAGCAAGAAACAGGCTTACTTTTTTTTCACACATAAAAAACACATACATTGCTTGATACATTTGAATCATATCTAAATCTGGTATAAAAATCATGGGCTATTTATAAAATGGCCTTATTTTTTTCCTTCCCATAAGAAAAGTTTCATTATCAAGCAAAGGGAAATCAGTTAGAAGCTGGGTCCGTCTGGACTTACCTGACGAATTGCCAGTGCCCCCTGGGGATCTACGGTCAGCTCTGCCAAGTGAACTCCAAATTCTGAAAAGAGAAAATTGTACTGTGAGTCTAAGAGCATTTAGAAAAGCCATAGCAATTTACTGAGCTCTAACTGTGATGCCAACAACCAACTTCAACGATTGCTTCTAAAAGTGCTGGTAACTGCTAAGGTTGATTCCCTTCAATAGAGAAACAAATGGCCATGCAGAGCCTGATTTCTTGCCATGAATAGTCCCAGCACCCTCTCATTTTCTCCAGTTGTTGCATGGCACCTTCCTGCTAGCTTCCATCCAAGATGGTAACCCTCTCCTCTCAGACCAATGAATGTAGCAAATGAAAGGAAACTGGGACTCTAACTCCAAGGAGAACTTGAAAGACTGTGATTTCAGGGGTTTCCTAGATATATAGTAATCAGATATGAAATGACTAGGTCTGAGACAACCTGGCTTCAATGAATATCCTAAAAATACAAGTACTGCAAAGAGTACTCTGTTGGGGGCATTTTGCTGATAGGGTCACACTATGTAGCCCAAGCTGGTCCAGAACTCACAATCCTCCTGCCTCTGCCTCCTAAGTGCTGGGATTACAGAAGAGCACCACCATACCTAACAACAGTAATCCTGAGCAGCATAAACTTGAAATACGGATCTAATTCCAAATGAATCAGCTATTTTTTTAAACTCTTATTCATGAAAGGAAGAAGAAGAATGAAGAACCAGGGTGCCTCACAATTTTCACCTATCTCCTAAACTAGATACAATATTGTCTAATACGGCAGCCATCAGGACATGGGCTGTGTGTGAAATATGGTCAATGAGAACTGAGATGGCTGTAAATGTAAAAACACACCTCAGGTTTCACACTTAGGAAAACAAAAGCAAAATATCTTCATAATTTTTGCACTGTTTATATGTTGAAATAATACTTTGCATACATCAGGTGGGCATGATGGCAAACTCCTGTAATCCTAGCACTTGGAAGCAGAGACAGTAAGACAGAGTTTGAGGTTAGCCTGGTTTATATGTGCCTTAAAACAAAACAAAACAACTATAAAACATACAGGCTCAAAGCAGGCACTGGTAACTCACATCAGTAATCCTAGTGACTCAGGGGACTAAGATCTGAGTATGCAGGTTTAAAGCCAGCCTGGGCAGGAGGGTCCCTGAGATTTTTATCTCTAATGGTAGAGAACTAGCCTTTAGCAAAAAACAAAAACAAAAGCAAAAAAAGCTCAAGGGCAGTTCCCAGGCTCTGGGCCTGGAACAGAAAACAAAAAAGTACAGGCTCAAGACTTGGGCAATTTTCGGTTCAAATCCTGAGTTACCATGTTTGTTTATATGTAGGCTGACTTATCCTCTTAAATCTCAATCTCCTCATGCACAAAGTAAGAATGGTGTCAATATATCACACAGTGCTGTGAGGCTGCAATGACTCACCCAGTGCTTAGCACAGTACCTGCCAGAGTAACAACCCGAAGGAAAAACAATTACCTTTGCTGTTATTATTTTTACTGCTCACCCAGAGTACATTGTTCAGCTTTCCTACCTATGTAACTTGTTATTTTGACTTAAATTTATGCAGAGGTTTTACAGTTTGAACAAGAATATTAAAAGTGACAGCCAGTCCTGCAAGCACCCAGGGTTGATACATTGTATTACTGGAGCTATCAACCTTCATTACTCTGCAAGATCTGGTCTGCTGTTTGTCTGCCATACATATTTGTCTGCTTTTCCCTTTGTAATCAACCAAATTCTCACTCACTGATTTTAGCCTCCATCTGTGAATGCTGCCTGCAACAATCATCATGTGGCTGCCTGCCTAATGCTGACTCTGCATTTCCTTTATTCACTTCACTTACTTGCTAGAATTCTCCTATAAGGAAGAACTATCCCGTCTTTATTCAATTATTCATTTTCATCAGTATAGAGTCATGTTGTTTTATAGGTTTTAACCCAATACTATTACTGTTTATTTATGGCTCAATTGTTCTAGCTAGGTCATTGGAACTCTTCTCAGTTGGCACCTGAGTGTTCCACAGACCCCCATCCTTTAGCACTTCCTGAAATGATCAGATGATCTAGGCTCATCTTCTATTTTCTCTGCCCAAACCCTGGGATCAAGTTCTCCATGGGATCAAGTTCTCCAAGAAGCCAGTGTGCTCTTCTGAGGAGAATGGAATTCAGAAACCAAGATATAGACACTGGGTATGCACAGTGGCGCTATTCTTAGGCCTTTCTAGAGAACAGAGCTTCTAAATCAGAACACTTGCAGGTTCATCCATTACAACTTGCTTCACATTATCTGTAATATATTTATCTGTCCAATTTTAGAATATAAATTACAGAAATAAAGGATCTATTAACTAAAGTATAATTTCTGTGTACAGTTCTTTTTGATTTTAGCTAGAAAATAATCAAATACAATTCTCCATAGTTACTTAAACTAGCGGGGTGCCAGTGTCTCACGCCTATAATCCTAGCTACTAAGGAGGCTGAGATCTGAAGATCATAGTCCAAAGCCAGCCCAGGCAAGAAAGTCCCTGAGACTCTTATCTCCAATAAACCACCATAAAATGGGAAGTGGCACTGTGGCTCACGTGGTAGAGCGATAGCTTTGAGCTAAAGAGCTCAGAGACAGTGCCCAAGCCTAGGGTTTAAGCCCCAAGACCAACAAAATGTTTATATTATTAATTTGTAACACAGGCTCATTTGTTAATCTTTGTGTCCCATTTTGTGTTCAACCTTACAGTTTGACTTCATCATTAATGTTTGGGTACATGTGAACCACTACTATGATTCTCATAGTCAAAACTATACCAAGGCTGTGCCACAGTCAAAAACTATATATTCTAGCCAGATACCAGTGGCTCTCCTGTAATCCTAGCTACTCAGGAGGCTGAACTGTGAGGATCAAGGGATTTTCAATTTGTCTGCCTAGGCAAATCTTAGCCTCCGATCTTGGCCCTCTTAGTAGCCAGTATTAGAGGCATGAGCTATCAGCACCTAGCAGTCTGAGTTTCCAATAATATGGTAAAAGCATAATTTTTAGATTGTTATTGTAAGTTAATATTAAAAATTCAAAATAGATTTTCAATCAGACAGTTAAAAGAGATACTGAGAGCTGGGCACCAGTGTCTTATGCCTGTAATCCTAGCAGCTTAGGAGGCTGAGATCTGAAGATGTACTTTGAAGCCAGCCCAGAGAGAAAAGTCCCCGTGAGACTCTTATCTCCAATTAACCACTCAAAAACTGGAAGTGGAGCTGTGGCTCAAAGTGGTAGAGCACTTGCCTCGAGCAAAAGAGCTCAAGAGACAGCACCCAGGCCTGAATTCAAGCCCCACGTCCAACAACAACAACAAGAACAATAAAGATACTGTGAAATAAAATAAGACTTTTGTGAAGGGGTTGAAAGGAATTGAGACTATACAGTTTAAATAAATTTGAACCACTGTCTTTCCTATGAAAGTGCGGACACTCATCATTCTAAGGTCATTCTAAGGGGAAAGCAGCCATGTACTTCTCATCAGTCCACACAGCACCATCAGAGGATCATGAGAGCACAGAGAGCAGGCAAACTTTACACTTTGGTGGTCCTTTGTCAAGTCTACCTTTCAGAGATAAGCATGCCTTGGATTTATTGTCTCCACATCTATGTCAGAACACTGGACTCTGGTGACGATCACAAGAATGGGGCTCTCTTCTCTCCAAAATAACCCCCAGCCCCGAATTCCACAAACCATCTAGACTGTAAGGGATGGCAAGTATAAGAGACCATCAGAATATTAAAACTTCTAATGGAAAGAAGAGAGGAAAAGTGAGCAAATGCAGTCATTATAAATTCATTGCACATTTATGAAAACAGCCCTACACAACTTGAGGGTAGTGAAAATGGAGGAGAACACTAGAAGGGATAGCATTGATCAAGATGCACTGTATTCTGTCCAAAGAGAAATGTACTTATTACTTGACTTAGGAAACAGTAACTCCTCCGTATAATACCTTAATAACAAGAATATTATATTTTAAGAAGATACACTGTACTCATAATCTGATATATAAAATTGTAGTTTCTTTGCATAACCAACTAATAATAATAAAATTTCTGATAAGTCAGAGTTCTAGGCCAGGCAAAGGATTTTCTCTAAAAGTTTAGAACCTTTCATAAGAAGAAGCCTGAGGGCTGGGAAGGTAGCTCAGCGGTAGAGTGCTTGCCTTGCAAGCATGAGGCCCTGTGTTCTATTCCTCAGCACCATATAAACAGAAAAAGCCGGAAGTGGTGCTGTGGCTCTAGTGGTAGAGCGCTAGCCTTGAGCTGAAGAGCTGAGGGACAGCTCCCAGACCCAGAGTTCAGGTCCCATGACCAGCAAAAAAAAAAAAAAAAAGAAGCCTGAAAGCCAGGCACTGGTGGTTCACACCTATAATCCTAGCTACTCAGGAGGCTGAGATCTGAGGATCACAGTTCCAAGCCAGCCCAGGCAGAAAAGTCTGTGAGACTATCTCCAATAAACTACTCAGAAAAAGCCAGGAGTGGTGCTGTGGCTCAAAGCAGTGGGGCACTGGCCCAAATAAGCTCAGGGACAGTGTCCAGGCCCGAGTTCAAGCTCCAGAACTAGCAAAAACAAACAAACAAACAAAAAACCTGAAAGCCTCATCACACCATGAATGCCCACTCAAGAGCTTATCAGAAAGAAAATTGCTGACGAACATCATTACTGTTAATTAAGACAAATTTTAAAATAGAATGAACAGAATATATCAACAGTTTCCCAAAGTTTCAAATCTGACAATCCCCCAAATTCAAAGATTTAATTTGCATTAGGCTAGAGTGGACATTAGGGGAAATATAAATTATCATCACATGTAACTCAGTTTATTCTGCCTAGACAACGTATGCATTAGAAACACAGGTATCTAGTCACCACTGAGGGGCATGTTTTAGTCAAGTTATTTCTGGACAATGCTCATTTATGCATAGTAAAACCCATATTTAAATTTTTTTACTTCACAGAGACTATACATTCTTTTTTTGTTTTAAAGCTGTAC